TGGGGACAAGCGGGAACCGGGGAGGCCACGGTGGCTCCGGTGCGGGAGAGCGGAGGGAAGGGGAAGGCGGGAGATCTGTAGGCAAGCACTGCAGCAGGCTGCCAATGGCCTCCTGAAAACCTGTTTGCCACCACCTCGTGTGCAGGTTCATGTGAGCACAAGTGAGCTCCAGGCTGGACTAGCCGGCAAGCGAGACTAGAGGTCCACTTGCCAGCTGCTGCAGTGGGGCTGCGGTCCTCTGGGGCTCCTCTGCCCAGGGCCAGCATCTGCAGGCACCATCTAAAACCAGCTATGGAGGAACCCACAGGTCTGTGTGTGTGCGTGAGCCCATCAGGACTAGGGGTTCAGCCTGACGACTGGTTGGATGGGGGGACATGTGGTGGCAGCAGCCTCATACCTATCAGCTCTAGCACCAAGCTCTGTCCCAGAAATACATGACACCATCGGCTCTGCTCTGGTAGTGGCCCACGGTGCACCCAGCACAGGCTGTGTGGGTGCGGGATGGCCAGGAGGTGGCTTACCTGACCTTTGAGAAGTGTCCCTTGTGTTTTCTGAGCAAAGTTGCATTACCAGCCCTTGCATGAAGGGGACCATCCAGGTGGGAGGACATTGCCACAGGTACAGCCCTTGCTCTTTGGGTTTGGGAGCACCATTCTGACGTGGAGCAACATGGGTTGTGCCAGGCATGTACCCTCTGCTCCTGCCCATGCCCAGGAGATGCCACCACAATGCACCAGCCTGAAAGGTGTCCAGTGGGACCACCTGTCCCATGCCAATATTTCTACCTCTGCTAAGTCAGGGTGGGGTGGGGGATGGAGGGGACACATGCTACCAGAGTCAGGAACATCAAATAGCCCGTCTCCTACAGGGACCAGGAGGGGTTTTCAGCCCAGAGCTGCACAGAGATGGAGCCTTTTCCATTCAACACTTGCAGGCTGTGGCTTACGGGGCAGAGGCCCAATCCCTCTGCTTTAACTTCAACCGGTCATAGCCTAACCAAGGACCCTGAAAAGAAATGCCTTAAACTAAGTGGCAACTCCCTTGGTACCAACTGGAACGCAGCAAAAGGCTGTTTGAAGGATATACAAGATACTGAGCAAAAACCTACGTGGGCACTGCTGGGGCTCAGATAGCTCCTGCCTGAGCCTTGGCTGGAGTAGCTGAGCATGAAACTGATGTAGATCCATCACTCTGCTGCTGCTGCTTGTAGCATGCTTGGATTCAAAAGGCACCTTATATTCCTCTGTCAAGCCAGATGTTTTCATAGCAGGAAGTTTTACTGCAGTGTGGCCACTTGCCAGAGAGGGGCCATCACTTGCACCCGCAGCGCTGCCACTGCTGCTGGAAGGTGGGTGGCAGGTGGGTGAGAGTTCCCCCACATGGAGCTGGGTGCACAGGCTCTCCAGGTGAGCAAAAAGGATGAGATGCCTGTGGCTGGACCACCTACGGGGAGCTCCCGCTGACCATCAAAGAGGAAACTGATACTTGCAGGAACCTGGAAATTCATTACCATGCACGCTCTGCAGAGGGAAATAAAGTCCTGGAGAGAAGCAGGCCCAGCAAGTGCTCTGCATCCTTTCAGCAGAGCTTCCTGAGGCGCATCATGTTCCTCAAAGCATGAAGATTGCCTCCTGAGAGCAGCTGAGAAATGGGTCAGGCCTGAGCCACCATGGCAGTGTCTGGGCAGAAGGAAGCACAGCTGCCCAGCTTCAAGGGCTGTATGGCAGGCAGTGGGAGCCAGGCCAGGCCCTGCTTTTCTCCACCAGCTTTGTTTCAGGTCATGTCCTTGCACATCCCTCTAGAGCACCTCAGCCAACAAGTCCTCCCAGGGCAAAAACTTTGCCTGTAACAGACCCAAGATGCTTCACACTAAATAAGGCAGCTAGCAGCATTTTGGGAGGTCCCAAAGACAGAAGTTATGGAAAGGGAGGGGAAATCCAAGAAGAAAGTATAAAACAGGGAAAGAACCAATGCCAGATATCCCTGGAGGTTAAGGGTTGGAAAAGGAGGCTACAGAGAGAAAAAACATGCACTAGATATGCAGTCACGTTCAGGGAAGACCACCCGTCTCACGTTGTTGTCATGTTTAGGTTAAGCTCATCTTCCCCCCCAACAGTGCTTCAGTGCTCCTGGCTGGAGTGTGCATCTCCACAAGATGCTGAAAGCTGCTTTCACTTGCAGTTTGCAAAGTAGCCTCATCCACACTGCTAACGGGTAGGACACCGACTGGGAGAAGACTGGGTGCACCACTTCTATGATACAACCCTCAGTGGTGCCCACACGCAAGGTGGGGCCTGCCCCAGTCCAGACCAAGGCACCTTCCCACTGCCTTCATAACTAAGAGTTAGGAACGCAGCAATAGTGTTAGGGCTTCGTTGTTCATATGGGGATGCTAACTCTTTCAGTCCTAGCATCTGAAACACACCTGGCAGGTTATCTTCTCAACCTCCACACCCCTGTGCTCAGCACTGGCCAAAGTCCAGGGCAAGCTTTAGGACCTTTCCCAGTATATCAGTTAGGGGCAAGGCTAGGACCCGGCCAAGACCCAAAGGAACTGTTCTCCACCTCCTTCCATAAAGGGATCACCACAAGGACATTGTGACAGCTCCATCTCTTTCTCATCCCTGAAATGAGTTCAAGCTGCTGTATTCAGGCCTGAAACAAGAAGGATCAGGTAAGAATGAGATGGTCTCCCTGTCTCACACCTCTGCCTTTCCAGCCGGCAAGCCGTGCCCTGCCAGCCCTCTTCAGCACAGCACTGAGCTAATTCTTGCTTGACAATTGTCAGAGCTGCCTCCAAGGTTCCCAGCTTCCCCAGGGTGAATTCCCCTGACCCACAGCTGCTAACACAGAGAACCACCCAAACCAGCTCAGAGATCAGCTCCATCATCCCGCTCAGCCAGGAACACACCCAGCATGGTCAGACCTGGCACATACTGCCACACTGCCGAGCTCTGGCCAGAGCCCACCATGGCCTGACCCAGACAGAGCACAGGAGGACAACATACATAAAGTTAACATTTACTGAGAGATACAGAACTGAGTATTATGAAGGACATACATGGATGGAGAGGGTAGCGACACCACTGCGGAGGGTGGCTCAGACCCCATTCCCGGCACGCGGGGGAAGGAGCCAGACGCTACCAGACAAGTAACACAATGGAGATAACTGTGGCATATGTGTTTGTAACAAACAGACCATCATAACATACATTTCTATGGGATCACATCTAGTGATTATATAAATCCATATAGAGATCGCTGTATAAAAACTTTGTAAAAAATACTTTAAAAAAGTGTAAAAATGTGCATTCAAAAGCACGGCCGACACGGACAGCTGGGCTGTAAACATTATACTGAGAGTGTGCTTGTGGGGGGCGCCTGCGCCACCGAGCCCCGACAGGCCTGCCCACCAGACGGGGCTGCGTCAAGTGTTTGCGGTTCTTGGGTTGGGGTTTCCCTCCGGAGCGTGCGCCAGGAGCAGCAGCAACCCCTGGGCAGGGCGACAGCGGCCACTGCGCAGGGCCACCGCTCCTCCGCCTGCGGCCCCTGCTCCCCACAGGGTGTGTGGTCCTCGCAGGACATGCTGCGGCATCGTGGGTCCCCGGGGCCACGAGCAGGCTGAAAGGCCATGATGAGGTATCACAGGGAGGTTGCCCTCACTGGCGCCGCTAGCCCTGCTCCCGGGTTCAGCCTCAGAGTACATGGTTGACAGATTCCTGATCTTCTCTGTCCCCATATTTGTTTGGTCCATAGTTCCCAAGGAAGCCCACTGGGTCCTGGCTGCACCAGGCCTGGGTGCACAGTTCTTCATACAGTACATACATTAGAGACCCTGGAAGACCCTGCGCCACTGTCTCTTCCTCCTGGCCCAGTACCACCTTCACTTCTTCTCTAGCTGCTCCAGCAGCGGGTTGGCTTCGCTCTCGGGCGTCTTGATGCTGTCTGTCCGCACGATGCAGGTGGGACGGCGCCGGTT